GTGGTGTATGAGCATGGATAGAGGTGTCATTTGTTACAGTATTTGTATAGTTTGAGACTGGGGGAGAATAGAAGAAAATGGGATAGCGAGGCTGGCTTGGGAGTGGGGAGTGGTAATATGAAAAGTATACATTACTTGTGTTATGGGAAAGGGGTGGCGGAGCGGAGAACGGAAGTTTTCCATGTATGGGCTAGATGTTGCTGGTCGTGCTTGATGTCATGGGCTTTCTCTTTCCGCTGTGCGACAACGGTGTGCTGTTCTTTGCGGGATGGGTGGGTATATGTGTGGCGGAAGTACAGCCCAGGGATTTCGGACAGAGGGCAGCTTGAGGCAGAATGACAAATAGTGGTTTGCGAGAAAAGGGGGGGAGGGGGATTGAAACTTATTTGAGCAGCGATAGCGTACAGATAAGTGAACATTTGGCAAAAATATATCGAAAGATAAGTATGTATTGGTGTGTGCTGCGAGGGCAGGTACGTGGGATATTGGAATATACAATACATGACGGGGATCTCAGTGATATGAAGAAGAAGAAGAAGAAGAAGAAGAAGAAGAAGAAAGGGCAAAGGAAAAAAATCGTGAGGCATACTAACTTTTGCCCTATTTTGCTTCCAGGCCTGTCTGGACCCTTTCTTCCCATTCTGTCCAACCCAGTTCTTGTGTTGCAAAAGACTCGCACCGTGACACCTGTCAGAGCTGTCAGGAACATGCCAGTCCTGTTCTATTGGTACGATGTTTAGCCAGAACCATCTACTGTGCTACGTTGTCCTCTTTTTGCGCATCTGATCCAGAACGAAGCCTTGGAAAGGGGGGCCAGGATCCGCCCTCCGGATTGCCAAGCACACTGTGTGCATGCAAGTTCCTTATTTATGCGTACCTTTTTTCTTACTCTCTAATTATTCATGGCATATGGGTTCTAGTCGATGAAAGATCTCGCTCCGTGTCAAATCATGGAAGGCTGTCTTGTACACTGCAAAGGCTTCCCAGGTCAATGGAGTCATATTTGGGCACTACTTTAGCCTTGTATAGTAGATGGGAATCACTAGGCAGGTCATCCGGCTTTCCGTTAGCCCAGAAATGGACATGTTGGATGGTTGTAGTGCCGATGACAGATGCCTATCCTAAGTAGCACTTGTACGAAGAGGGGCGGGCCCAGACCTTATCGTCTCACTTGATTCAACCCTCCCTTTTTCTATTATCGAGCGGATGCACTCGCATCCGTGACGTATTAGGATACTACAGAGGTCCTAGATAGCTACCTTCATCAACGGATATGCAAGCTTGATCAGACGAACCCCTGCTATGTAGATAGTATTGTAGTTCGCCCTACCCTGCAGAAAAACGCCGCAAAGCTTGATTTCATCATAACAGTTGTCCTGCAGAATCTACCGCAGGAGACGGGAGGCTCGCCCTCGATTATAGCACATCTCCCGGTACCCCCACGGAATGTGATGTGTTCAAGAGTCTGATCCTTTGTGACGCCTGTGAGCAGTCGTTCCTGGTGTGACAGCGGGACTAGGTTCCTCCATGTGGCAAGCCGAAGGCGACGACCCAGGTACACTTTTGGGCACTACTCAGTGTAAATACAAGCTGGCCGTACTCACAAATCAAGGAAAAAACAATCGAGAACATGGTCGTGCAGGCGTGATTTAGTGAGGCAGTGTGTTGATTGCGTTCAAGGCATGCGTCTCGCTACGCTGCGCGGGGCTCGTCTCAACGGGCCACCTGACGGGCAGGAGGAATAGAGATTTTGACAAACTCGTCGCACGATATGCTGTAGCAGCGATGTTGGCGCGTCGTTTGAGCTCGGGTGCAAAGCCGAGCATGTTGTAACATAAGCTTGAGATGCTGTGAGCAGACCCTTTACGCGTACATACTGCCCCGCTGTGCCACGCTCCTACAGGCATCCCACGTAAAGAGTTCATTGTGATCGAAGCCGTATAGACAGCCAAAGCAGATTTGCAATGTTGTAGGCTTTTCGAGAGGCCGTGGTGTTTGCGCGTTGCGTACCAGATAGAGCTCTCCCCTTGCAATGGTCCGAAGAGCAAACAGGGGTAGACAAGTATGAAAGGTTGTTGTCGTAACGAGGAGCTTGCAAGTAAGTGTACGTACGTATGTAGTTATTTTCGGAAATGCTAAGCGACTTTTCTCAGTATACGTACCTACGCCGGATCTTTGAATCGCTTCAAAGAACTTCCTCGGTCTAGATTCATTAGTGCGAATTAACAGACTTCAGTCAATCTAAAAAAAACGTTGCATGGCGATGCTAATCTTGCAGCTAAGAAGATGCACATTCTCGCGTCGATAGTGTTGGAGACACCCAATGGTCAGAGCTGTGACCTCTTGCATAATACTGGTGTGTATCCAAGCACGGAGAGTTTAGTGCGCTATGGAAGGTAGGGTATATTGCCCTCGACAGTTCCAGTCATGCGAGCCCACCTTGAGAGGTAGGGGTATTAAGACAGCTCCACGAACCACGCGTACGCTTGGGAGGAAGTCCGTACGCTGGGTAATGATCCGCCCCAAAGACACTGGTACATAACGTCAGCTGTTCCGGATTCGTTCTGGCAAGCTATTCGCCCTGTTTTTGTGTAAGACACTGTTTCATTTACCGCTCAACCCACATCTCAGGGAACGCTATCTTGAGTCTGGTCCAATGGGGTAAAATTCGTAAAGATGAAATGCTCGGTCACGAATTTGTCTTATTCTTTCTTGGTCCAGATGGCAGTATTGGACTTGAGTTCGATAAGCGTTGAGAATTGCCGCCGGTCAATCGTCCTGCCTTCTGCTATGTTCGTCCCTCAGCTCACAGCCCGTACTTGCATCACAACGGCAACACCCGGACTGCTTCAGGTTACTTGGATTTCCTGGAATCCCACATTGGCGGCTTCTGTGTAACCAGCGAAAACGGAGAAAGTCTGCTGTACGCATGGTTATCGATTGTGCGTGTGCATATCCTACGTAGGCTGGCACTGTGCGAATGACCCAGTGTTTCTAATAGCATCAGATTAGCAGCCAATAGCACCGGCACTTCAAAGAGCCCTGTGTATTATCTCACAAAGGCACTGTGCTTTGACCGGAAGGCAGAGTGAGTTGTTCGAATCTCCCACCGCCGGGGGCGCGCAGTGACAGCAGGCTCGGCGGTATGCATCCATGGCACTTCACATAAAGGTACAACTCCTGAGAAACTTAGAGAAAAGATGATCCCAGAAGAACTTTTGGATGTGCTTGGTCAATCAGTTGTTACGGCTTGCCACAGGCAAAGCTGCAGCTTGGCCTTTGTCTTCTTTGAGCGGTCTGTACTGAGACATCATCACCGCTCTTCTCTTTGAAGTGGCCCTCCATCAATCCAACTACATACTCAAGTAATTGAGACAAGATGCTTTGTTGGTCGATGTCCGGTGAGGCACAGGTCAAGTGAAAGTTGGAATCTGAAAACTTTGCTTCGCGAGTAAGTGAAAAGGCTTGCATCAAAATGTGCCATGTCTCAGTACGAGGAGAGACTCATTTCCAGACCGGAAAGGATACCTTACTCCCCTGACGGTGATGTATGGTCGATGCGGCAAGCGAGCTCTTTCCTGGGTCATACATCTCGAGTATCCCTAACGGAAGCAAGGCTGATATCACACACCGATAAAAGATGAACCAATCGATTTCTTTGCTGAATCCAAAACTGTGTAGGCGTCCGAGATACACAAAAAAAGGGCCACGTTTGCAACAAAAGCCAAGAAAGTACGTGCATTTGTGTACCGCGGTAGGCTGCAGGTAAACGCATTGCCGATTCGTTCTTTCACGCCATTCCAACAGGGTGCATGACAGGTGGGCTTGTTCTTTTGAGGTAGCCATAGCCCGGGTAATGGAGAGCTAGTGCTATTCCGAAATGCGGTGGTGTTACCCATGCGTAGGAGAGACACTTGCAGCGTTGCGCGATCGTAGGTAGCTTTGTAGGATTTCGCCTTCCACTGCCAGCATGACAAATCGTTTTCTCTCCAATCGCATCTTGCGTTGATGGGAACTACCTACAGTTAACTGTGACTTTCAGAAAAAGTGCTGTTTCTCTCCTAGCGTTGTGATGGACTGGTGATTCGCGTTATTGTCATGGGCGTCCACGTTCTCCAGCCTATTGGAAATGTTTTTGGTTGACATTGGCTGTCAGGCCAAGGACATTAAACGAAGAGGCCGGACCGTATGTCCCTGCTAGGATGCAGGGTTCAGCACGGGAAGTGTGTTTGATGCCGTGTGACACCATTCCCTCGATTCATCTTGCACCATCGCAATGCCCAAAGCCCAGCACTTGTTATGGGTAACAGTCGTTTGGTCCCACTGTGGGCCCGCCGTCTTGCAGCTTGTCAAGCCATGCAGTGTGCGTCCTGGAACCCAGGCACTCCCACTTACATTCCGGACGTCGTCTGCACTGCGCTTGGGCAAGCTTTGACGACGTAATTCGCTGGGGTGAACAGCTAGTGGATCAAAGTGAAGGTGGGTGTTGATCCGTTAAAAAGGGACTGGTGATAGCACAAGTATATGTTGCTGCAGTTGTTATGCATTGGCTGTCTCCTGGATAGTCTCTCCCGAACGATCCTTTACCACACTCGAATTTGCCAGAAATTACTTTGCCCTAGTAGCACGTCGTTGTAACTGTACTCTTATCATATTCCGGTAAAGAAACCCTATCCATAGCTGGCTCTCTTCGGCATCAACTGACCTGGCATGTCAAAGTCACCGGCTAGCTTGTATTGCTGCAATAACCCTGCGAACTTATCTGTTGGAAACCACGCGAGGTCCAGCTAATCGCCACGGGACCATACTGTTTGTTGAGCGAAGCCACCTGGATATCAGGGCTAGGCCGACACGACGTGCACGTCTCTCTGCCTACTTCCAGCCAGCGTTGACTGACTCAACTTACGAACGCAACTGGTACGTTGCAACAGCCATCAGCCCCATTTTTTCCCGATTCTGACGATACCCAGGTCGATTACCAACGTGGATATACATTCCAACACGTCCCTGCCGGGAACAGGTATAAGGCGATCATCTGGTCCTCGTGAGAATTTTGCAAACGCCTGAATACCAGCCTCTTCTTCCCGTTACTACCACCACCAAACTTTTCTTTACCCAAAGTCAATCTTTGTTCCACAGCAGCCCAGTCTTTCTATCGACTTGACTTTCGCGCTCTTCTTGCCAGGTACTGGTACCCGGTAGTGAGCCTCCACGTCTTTGCTTTTGCCATTTCCAGGTGATCGCAAGCCCCACGGAATGAACATAAAAGATTTGCTGAACCCTTCTTGCGGTGATCGCCATGACCATCGCTATCCAGAGTCTCCGACACCATCACCACACCCGGTAGCGATATTGCCAGCGCTTAGGCGACAAAAGATACCGAAGGATGCTCCAATCTTTTCTGAAGGCAACAGAACCGTGGGAATAGTCAACTTTGTTCCTCACGAAGCGAGAAACGACGAGAAACTCCTTGCACAGCACCGTAGATTCCAGATCTACCCGTTGGGTGAGATCTCCAGGAAGGGAGTTCGACACATCCCATACAACAGCGATAAGAAAGACTTTCTTGAGAAGACTGGACGCGATGCATTCGAAAGTAAGGTCAGTTTTTGAGATTGATAGTAAATGCTGACTTTCGTATAGTGTTCCAGTACACGTACAAGCTCCCTGATGAAGATAAGCCGTATGCCGTTGTCTGGGACTACAACATCGGCCTCGTCCGTATGACGCCTTTCTTCAAGTCGTGCAAATACTCAAAGGTAGGTATCTGTTTCTATGACATTTGAGTAGGATAATAAGTGTTGCAGACAATACCCGCAAAGGCATTGAGAGAGAATCCCGGGCTCAAGGATATCAGCTATAGTATAACTGGGGGCGCTCTGGTGTGTCAAGGTCAGCCAAGTCAATCCTAGACTGTCCAGACACTTTACTGACATTTTGTAGGGTATTGGATACCGTACCAGGCTGCCAGAGCCATAGCTGCAACCTTCTGCTATGACATTCGATGGGCGCTTACTCCTGTCTTCGGCAACGACTTTCCTTCAATTTGTCTGACGCCAGATGATCCCTGTTTCGCAAAGTTTGCCATTGACCCAACCATCGTACGGTACTGTACTGAGGAAACCACAAAATTTCAAGAACTTGGATCTGCGTATGAAGTCCATAGGCCAGTCGCCCCGACACAAGTGGAGGCACCGACGTGGCGCTCTGAACAGCCACCACTCAACGCCCGAGTTGTCAGGCAACGGCGCGCGCGACCGGTAGATATAGAGAGCGGATATGGAACCGATACAGAGCGAAACGACAGGTATCTCTTTTCTCCTGAGGTATCTCCACGCACTCGCTTCACGCCCATCAATCGGCCACACTCGCCGTACTCTCCCCGCATAGCAGAGTCTTCGTTTGTGAGCTCACCCGTCAGCATGCGTGCGCCCCCAGGATTGCATACGCCGACATCAACTCCATATGAGTACTCTGGCGAGGTCTTCCGGGCAAAGCGGTCGCATTCCAAGGTAGTGTTTTGCGAGCATCTTGCCGACGAAGCTGTCATTCGCCCTCCAACAGCCGCCACAGTCGACAGTGCACACAGATGCGACATGTGCGTTGGTGACGATAACCACAGCCACGTCGATATGGACGCAGCAGAGATGTTGCTTTCGCTGCGTACAGCGGATAATGCGATGCCACCATCAAAGCGTATGCGTCGGGGTTCATGATGTTCGAAATAGTGTATGCCAACTTCCTGTTCTGAGGACGGTGATGACTAAAGCATGGCGGTTGATGCCTTCCTTTTCCGTCTGCTCATGACGTTTGCTAGCCTTTCCAGCGTTTCTTGTCGGTACACTCGTCGAGCAACTTTATTTAGTTCAGTTTGTGCATTTCAGTATTAAGAGGACGCACCATCAGCGCCTGGGTACGGTCATATGCTATGTTTACATGTTTATGCGGTCATATCCAATGAATAGAAAAGTGCATTTGCAATCCAATGTCGAAAAGATCAGACAAACATCATGCTCGAGAACATAGTGAGATGGATAGATGAATTCGGTCTCTAAGAATATCTCATTTGTAATCTTGACATTGACGTTATATGAATGACCAAAACCTCATGGCATGGACTCACTTCTATGCTACCTTGTTCTTCTCTTTCATCTTTTCCAGTCTCTTGACGGTGGACGAGATGATTGAGTCCTCATCAAAAACATATGTCACGCTCTCTTGTTTCATTACTGCTGCAACCCACTTGGAAAAGTTGGGAAGTGCATCCAAATCTGTTGTAATGGACTTGGGGAGTACACCGCGTCTTGAGAACGCATATATCCGGATAATGAAAGGCGCGGTTAGTGCCTACGAGGCCATTAGTAATGCTGCTACTTGCCTGGGTGCTGACCATACCTCTGCCAGTGTGAGTTTCTCACTCCCGCCGAAGAATGGCTTTGCATCTTTCAGAAGAGGCTCCAATTCTTTGCTCACGGTTTCAATAAATTCCTGGCTCAACTTTGCCTTTTCCTCTTCAGAATCCTGCATCAAGATCTTGTACCAAAAGCTACCAGCCTTGGTACTCCAGGTATCGACAAAAAAATTGATTTTAGCACGGGCCAGGGCAGCTTCTGGAGATCCTGTTGCAGGGAAGAGATGCGAGGGATAGGCGTCAGCCAGGAATGTTGAGACAACGGCTGACTCGGTGATGATCTCGCCATTGAACTTGATGGCAGGAACAAGACCTCGCTGCATATGGGTCAACTATGTATCGACGCATAAAGCCCGGACGTAGACTCACAGGGTTGATTTTCAGATACCAGGGCTCTCTCGGAGTATCCAAATCGATTGTAACTTCCTCATAAGGCAAACCCAGTTCTTTCAAAACAATGTGAGCTCGGTGAGCATAAGGGCAGCGATAGTTTGTGTATAGCGTGATTTTGGGCGCATTGCCATTAACGTGCGCCATTATTTCGGAGTTATTACGACAATGTGAACGCGGTTACAAGGATTGTAGGGAAGTGGTGCGAAAAATACTATTTGAAAGCACTTGCGAGACTTGACTTCGATCAGTCTGCAGCATCTACTAAATAGCCGTGACCATCGACAAGATATACCCGGGGCTCGCACAGTTCGGTATGCGGCTTATCAATCAGGTCATATATGGATTGCATCAACATGCAGCCGGATTGTGCAGTGCGGGGCATATCCGATTTGAGTGGAGCGCCATCGGGTGCCGGCCCCCAAGCTCTTTCGTGTATTGTCCCGATATCCTTGTGCTTCAGCACTGATGTGACAACAAAAGTGCCCAATATTCCGCAGCTCGTGCTTTGGCATGTCCAATTTGAGCATGAGCGGTAAAGAAGGGTATTTAGAACCCTGCAAATAGACGTGGTGATGAGACATATGGTCTCTGTCCGACAGAGGGGCGCCGCCCTTCGCAGCGCACCGGTCAAGGTCTTTAGTTCCAGAGAAGAGCAGCTGATAGGTATCGCCACAAAGTATCGGGTAGACGCATGCCCTTCTCTGACCATAAGTATAAGTGCCTGTATTCAACCGTGGCTCAGGATGATCTTCCATCTACAACATTGATCATGGTCGTCGCCTTGCACTGGCTCAACAGATAACACCGTCACCTTCGACTTTCCACTCCATCGCATTGCTGTCTGTCTTCTTCTTCGCTCTGCGCTTCTCATTGCGCAACCGCCTCTTTTCTTCGGCGTCCTTTTCCATCTGTTCCCTATTCATCGCCAGTCTGGAGTCCAAATCTATGACGTCAAGAATCTTTGCCTCGTCCTGTTTTCGCTTGAGATATCGTAGGCGGTCTCGAACTTCTTGAACAGTTGCGCGGCGTACTTCGCCGGACTGGCCGGTAGCGATCAAATGTTGCTTGCTGTTGAGATGCTCGACGTACTGAATGTTGTCCCTGAGGGATTGTTAGCGAAACCAAGTAAGCGCGGTAAAAGAGAGACGCACTTGAATGTCAGGTCGCAGGCTCCGCAGTATGCACCAGCACCACGTCCCCTCTTACCAACTGCAGCAGCAGCTGACGTGAGGGTTTGCTTTCCGATCATTTTGCTCCAATCTATACGTTCTGCTCTTGCTTCCGTCTGCTTCAGATCCTCAGGCGTTGACGCCCTCCGTCTATACGACTTGCCAGCCATCTTTGCTTCGTATCGCTCTTTTCCCTCCTCACGCTCTTTTGCCTCTCTCTCCTTGGCCTTTTTTGCCATCTCGTCGCGGTCCCATGTTTTCCTGAAATCCGTATCGCCGCCCCCCGTCGTTCCGTATGCGCCTGCTTTACCGCTCATGACGGGCAATTGTAGAGAGACACGCTCTTTACGCTATTGGTGATGGAAATTTTAGTGAATCACAAGGTTCCAGTCGAACTCCAGTTGTGTCTAGATTGCGCGTAGGTGTCTTCACGGGCCAAAGCAAAGTCGAGTATTGGTGTGTAGTTACACTCCACGCGCGTGGTTTTCGAGAGTCAAGCTCGCGACTTTCTGGTCCGTGACGCACGGACTTTACTGAGCTTTGGGCAGGTATGCATCATCATCATCATCACCATCACCACGTATTACAATTGATAAAACCTGTACATAGAAAAGACAAAGTCCATGTACATTGATTGATAATTCAAGATATTTCATCTCGTTCTAGCTCTGAATATTTACCTCGTGTCATCATGATCACGATTGAATAGAAGGAAAATCGGGGAATAAGTACTCCTCGCTATGCTCCGATTTCCTGTTAGTAGTGTCTTAGCAGGCGACACATATGTATAGCCATAAGCCAATTTCATGCCACCATATCCTAGCTCAGCGAAACTTATGGATGCGCATGACATTTCTGTCACATGCTTTCCATGATTGCTAAATGTTGAAAGTGTCTTCGTGAGACGATCGCAAGCGCGATTGTGTCGGGCCATAAGTAATTCCCGCAACCCTAGTACGGGTATGGACCAGCTCCACGAGGAAATCCTACATGTTGGCCCGGTGCTGGCGGCGCCGGTGGTACTGGTACTGGAGGCGGTCCGCGCGCTACTCTGCCTACTGCCATGTGTCCATGAGATACTGAGCTATCTCTATCTCGTCGTTTCTTCTTCTTCTCTTTGACACCATAGCCTATGTCAGTGTAACCTGCAGCGGCAAAAGGCGGTTCAACGACCTCTCGAGAATGGTCATCCGGCAGCCTGAGGTCAACAAGGCTGTAGAAGTAATCCAAGACTTCCGGGTAGCGAAGAACCGATGCTCGCCAATCAGCGTCGATGCCACGCTTGAGCTCAGCATGGGCTTCTGCGATTTGTGTCTGAAGCGTCGCCACGTACATGGGGTGTATTGGCGGATGACCGGAATATCGCATGTAGACTTCGTAGTGTGGGAGCGAGGCAAGGTATGATGAATGGGCTTGCTTGCGAGTTGACGTCAACCGCTCAAAGGCATTCAAGATATGCTGACGCGCGTTGTTAATCACCCAGTCTCTACAGATTAAGTCAGCATTCGTTTTTGAGAAGATGATAGCATCTGCAGTACCTTATTTCAGCCAACCTCTCATCCATGGCACGCTGCTCGGCCTGCTTGACGGCAATTTGCAGGCGCTCCGACTCGCAGGAGCATTCGGGATAGGGCGGCGCATTGCAGATGGCACAGTTGGGAGCTGCATCCATGTCATACGGAGGAAGTGGGTGAGCCAGCGTTGATCATTGTCGGTCCAGAGTGGGCCGAACACAATTCCAGGGTAGTTTTAGTGATTGATGGGGATACACAGGATGAGGATTTGATCTGGAGTGAGGTCGGTTTTAAGACAGTCTGGAAGGGGATGTGCGCTAGGGTAGTCAGGCACAGGCGGTGACGACGGACAAGTAACATGTTACATGACGATCTTTGTGGAGGCCATCGGCGTGATCTGGCTAGTTTCGTACGGCTTATGGAGTGACGGATGGATTGGGCAGACTTGGGATGCGTTATGAGTTGGCAGAATCGCTAGGATCGGCTCAACCAGTATTAGCTCCGGGGTGTGCCAAGACTAATTGCTTCTAGATAGTAGTGTAGTGTAGCATCGATCGAAGGCGACGGATATGGCCATGTTGAACTTGACCGTCTAATAGTAGCGGAGAGCCGTGTCGGATGGGGTGTGGGATGCAGTAGTTGTTGATGCCCTCGATCAACCTGCCCCGCCTTTGCCCTCGACCCTCGACCTTGCCGGACCCCACCACCGTGGTATTAATGTCCGACCGAGTAAGATGACAGGGATGTGGCCTTCTCTTGTCCTACAGTACACAGACCCTTCTGTCTGCTGGTATGCTCCCAGACAACAGAACAGCCCAATGATGTCAGGATCCATGGAAAAAACAATCCAGACTCTGGATGCACACGCACACACACACACGTTGGCTCCAAGCAGCTGCGCAACCCACATGTGCTGTCGACACGGCCGTCTCCTAGCCTTGCGATGGTGTCGACCGATGTGAGTGGCATGCGACATGTGACCCTCGAGCTTTTCTTCATCTGTCCCGTCCGCGGATTGTTGTTCTTGGCCGAGCACCCTATATCCCAAGGCCCATCTGCAAGCCTTTTCCTTTGGGCTCTCTTGTGGAGAGAGCACTACCACTAGGTGTACTATCTAGTAGTTACGTCCTCGATAGTAGGCTTAAGATACGTAAGGTCTCCTGCACGTGACAGGGAGTCACGCACCGACACCGCTCTTTGTTCGCTGTTCCAACCACACTCGCATTCGCCGCACTCGCCGCACTCGTCGCAAATCAGAAGCCGACCTCTCCGATAGATGGCGTCAACCTGACGCAACTGACCGTTCGATGTGAGGCTTGCAGGCGTGCTGGCCTGTCCCCTTATATACTGCCGCTATCACTGGCGGATGCGCATCATCATGCCGTCCATAACGCATATCCGGTAGTTTCCCCATTGTGAGTCTGGCTTGTCCCGAACCGCCTATCGTCTTCTAGATCCGTCTCCTCCAATCGCCGACCGCCGTTGGTCTAGTGGACCAAGCCCTCTGTGGTTTTGCAGCACACGAGGGCTGAAGTGGAGTTTGTCAGCTCACCTCGTTGAGGTTCAATAGCCTGCTATGCTTCGGATACTCCGAGTCGTAATTTTGGATAGTCGCAACTTCTTTGAGTCAAACAAGCGTCCCATAATCCCCATATGTCGGAACAACAAGCCCCAGAGAAGGCCCCTCATGCTAACAACTGCCTTTATCGCATTGCCAAAAACATTTTTTTTGTAGAGCTAGGGCTTGCGCAGTGATGTATTTAAAGACAAGAGTCTGTCTGGTGCTGCTTGTACGCATGACTCAGCAGTATTATCGTGGTGTTTTCTGGCTAATAATCCGGGTGATCCTGCGTGCCGCACAGACTGCGCCCTTCGAACTCGACATTCTACCGCATTAGGCTTAGTGCATGTACAAAGAGTCTCTCCCCCGTCTTCGGCATGGCCCCAGAATGAGTCCAAGCCGCGGTCCTACTTAGCATCCATCATCCCGCAAAACGGCAACTCACGCCTTATTGTCGAATTCGTCCAGAGGGCGTGCATTTGTTCTTTGATCTATCGCAAGCCATTGGACAGCGGCCAAGATAACCCACTGGTTGATTGCAAATCGAGGCCCGCCATCATGGCTACCCACGATGCAGCCTTCGATATGGCAGACTTTGTCGATTTCGGAGACACAAGCATACCCGGCGTATCACAAGGGACAGACCTCAACATAACGGAGCCAGCATTGGACCAAAGGTGTGTGGTATACCCATTATTCCTTAGTCGCTCACCCCAGCTTGACATCCATGTAAATGCGACCTTGCGTTCAAGGGGTCCATCATTTACGATCAACTTTCTTTTTCTTTGGTTCTAATATCAGTCAGTCCCCTACTAGGAGAAGATGATTCCAGAGGGCTTGTGCAATCTGCCGATGCTCAAACTATCGACATCGACTTCAACACTGATTTTAGTACTTGGCTGCCAACATACCAAAAGTCCGTCCAGCCATGTGAATACTGCAGATCAATGTCCCTCGAGTGTTTCATCTATAACGTTGACGGTACCAAGCAGCTAGGCTGCTCCCCATGCAACGCTCTGTTCCGGCCATGCAGCTTCAGCAACCCAGAAAGGATGCCAGCAATGAAGCAAAGAACGGCACTCGACACGTTAGATGTCGTGGCAGAAAACGACACGCGATGCTTCGGTGGACTCACCGGAAGGAAGCAAATGCGATCGTTGGGTCACGTTGGTCCCATAACGGATGACAACAACGGAGAGCAGTGCTCCAAGAGTGCTGCCGTGTCAGCGCGCTTCCCAAGAGCTGCTGTCAGCATCCTGAAAAATTGGATGCTAATGCACATCGATCATCCCTATCCAACAGAAGAAGATAGGGAGATGTTGAAACAGCAAACTGGCTTGTCCATTGGCCAGATCTCCAACTGGATGGCCAATACGCGGCGAAGGCAGAAGGCACGACCCAAGCGAAGTGCATCGCCGAGCATCCGACCATCGACAAAAGTCATCAATATTCCCGCGGGTAAAACCTGGGAAAGCATGGGTACGTACACCGAATCTGAGTTTAGTCGATCGCACAAGACTGTGGCGCCCAAGACTGACGGAAGATTCATCGTCTTTCGTGCGGATCAAGGGCGCACAAACTCAGATACTGGCACCTCGTCTCAGATGCCAGTGTTACAGCAGCAGGAATGTTTCGGTTAACTCTCGACAGGTCCGTTCGAACGATGGAAGCACTCTCCTCCTGAAAACGAACCTGCACCTCTCAACGCCATTGCTCACGCTGTTGAAACCTTTGATCCGCCGCAGTCCACTAGCCAGAGCGGCAGCTACCGCAAGGATACTTCTAATGACAGTACTGGGAGCTTCTCGGTGTTTAAGGCACCTTCCATCTCTTCGCTAGAGACTGGCCTCACCAAGATGTCCTCCGGTTCTCGGGGATCCCGTGATTCTGCCTACTCGTACGGATCCCGACACTCACTCGGCTCTTTGAATAGTCTCAAGTCAAAAGAAAGGCGAAGGCGCCGACGAATTCCCACCCGAGTGTCAAAGCCTAGTCCTGACGAAGGACAAAGAATGTTTCAATGCACATTCTGCACTGATACTTTCAAATCCAAGTACGACTGGTATGTAATTCTCTACCACAGCTGCTGCAAATATTTGATTGCACCGAATAGACAGGATGGTACTGATGTTTTGAAGGTCTCGCCACGAGAAGAGCCTTCACCTGTCTCTTGAAAAGTGGCTATGCGCACCCCTTGGCGAGATCGTTGCCGATAAGGTTACCGGGAAATCCAAATGTGTCTACTGCGACGAGTTGGATCCTACCAAAGAACACCTAGCGACACACAACCACACTGCTTGTTTCGAAAAGGGCCCCGAGTCTAGAACCTTTTATCGGAAAGACCATCTTCGACAACACCTGCGACTTATGCATGGTTGCAAGATGACTGCAAGTATGGACACTTGGAAGTCTGAAGCACAATATATCAAATCCCGTTGTGGGTTTTGCGGCATGAGCTTTGACAAGTGGCAGGACCGCGTCGACCACCTAGCAAAGGAGTTTCGTAACGGAGCCAGTATGAAGAATTGGAAGGGCTGCCGTGGTCTAGATCCCCATGTAGCCATACATGTGACCAACGCGATGCCACCATATCTCATTGCTAATGAGAGAAAGTCACCCTTTCCATTTTCGGCAAGCAACTCTTCAAGTCTGCAGGTACGTACGACTGTATTGAACATGCGAGGCCACTCCGAGGTCGGAAAGCACGATGATATTCTGCAGAGCTCTCTGACTGATTGATGAACAGCAAATCAATCTGTCACTCGAGACGCGAGACTTGGAGTACCTACTACCCAACAACTACGACCTATCCATTGCCTACCAAGATGGCAAGAATGCTTCGTCGGTTGGGCCAATCATCCTGACCACACCCGAGGACTTCCCAACGTCGGGACAATCCGATCATAATCCTAACGCAACATGCTGGGAAATTCTGACTCTACGACTTGGACGCTTTGCGAGACGGCATATTAAGGAGCACGGTGCTGGGTCTGTGACTGATGAGATGTTGCAAGTTGAATCGCGCCGTATTCTTTATGGTGATGACGATCCCTGGAATCAAACTTCTGCAGACAATCCCGAATGGCTCAATCTCTTCAAGAAAGCACACGGCATCGACTCCAAAGCCCCAGTCAAAGGCATCACCACAGAGCACGACATTTACGAGGATCTGGGTATCAACTCCAGCACCGCTGTTGACTCTAGCTTCGATGTCAATAACTTTACTTGTGCAAACCTACCTGAGAATGATCCGCTGCGGGCACTCTCTTTCGAGTGTTCGCTTTCAGGCTCGTTGGGACATATCAAAGGGCACGTGCGACAGCTCTCATCCGGCCGTCAAACACCCTACAGCGTACCGGGGCTGAGCAGATCGCCCACATCACCCGCTTCCTTTGCACCAGCAACAACTACAGCAGCAGCCAGCGATGACACACTCATGGGCGTATACGCGCCCATTTCGGAGCTCACATGTCCCCCCAACGGCGCCAAGGGACCTTGCTTTGGCGAGCACGGCGAACTAGGCTTCTCCGTCACCAACCCTGGGTCCCCTAAAAGACGATACTGGATGGATGAAACAATCACACAAATCTCGCCCTT